GTTCCTCAGTCATGCTGTCATTGTTCTTTCTCCTGTTGATGTTTCTCTTGACAAACACTGATTTGATGTTTGGTGCTCAGGAGAAGAACAGCGGCCGTCATGTTTTGTTTTGGTTTTAGGCATGTATGTTTTTTTCAGAATTCCACATGGCTGCCAAGAACAAAATCATGATGCATCGTGATGTTTGAACGACAGAATCAGACTCTGGAAATGTTTTTTCTTTTCCAGAACAATGAGCTTGTGATGTTTCTCTAGTAGAACATGCATTTGTTGAATTTCCTGCAAAGACATGCCCATAGACACGCACACACACACACACACACACACACACACACACACCTGTAGTCCACAGCAGTTTAGTGACACACACATACTGACCTCAAATTAGACTCTTTGAAATGCCAAAACACAGTCACACACACACTGCTGACAGCTGCTGTTCCTCAGATCTCAGCGTTCAGGTCGGTGTTTGTCATGTCAGGACGTGTCTGACACACATTCTGTCTGTGTCTCTGTGTGTCGATGTGCTCGAGTTGTTTGCAGGTTTCCTGTAATCATCTGTCAATAAGAGTGAGCTGGGAATGATTATGTGTGTTTGCGTGTTTATAATGGTGTGAGTAGTGAAGCATTATGAGCTCTGACTAAACGGATTATGTTGTTCTTCTCTCTCTCACTTTCTGTGTGTGTGTGTGTGTGTTTTTAGGGGCGCTCGTGTTAAGGTGACTCCGGGTTATAAGGAGGAACAGTGCGCTCCAGCTCTGACCCTAGAGATGAAGAAACCCGTCGACCTGGAGGCTCCAATCAGCTGGTACAGAAACACACACACTTTTACACACACACACTCGGAATGAGCCAAAGAGCATCTTGAGCTTCAGTTGAAGACTGTACAAAGTGTCACATAATCAATCAATCCGGGGAAAAAATACATGTCTATATATCTGTGTAATATATTATACAACATCTGTATGCATATGTGTGTGTCCAGTGTTATTTTAATATCAACATCTGTATGCATATGTGTGTGTCCAGTGTTATTTTAATATAATTGATGTACTGTTTAAGTTTTTAATTATTTATTTTTTCTATTTTAATAAAAATAATATTTAATCTATTTAAATTTTAGTTAAGGAATTTTGTTATTTTTTTTATTTAGTTTAATTATTGTGTGTGTGTAAAAATGTTTTAATTTTAAAATATATATATATTTTGAATTAGCATTTATTTTTAGATTTTTTTTAGAATTTATATTATTTAATATTAATATTAAGGGTTTACATTTTTATTTCAATTTTATTTTTAGTTTAGTTTTAGTTTTTATTGACTTGTAGTTTCAGTATTGAATTTCAATTTTAATGCTAATCCTAAACTCATTTCAGTTTATTGCCAGTACAACATTTCCAATTATCATTTAGTTTTTATTTAATATTTAGATTTGAATCTTATTTCAGTTTTATTTCAGGAAACAAAATAATTTAATAGTTTTAGTTTTAATTAACAATAAGAATCCTGGTCTGGAGTGAGCAGAGCTTGAATTGAGACGAAGCAGCAGCTCAAATATGAGAGAGTTTTCGTTTGTTGCTTTCACCTTATCATTCCTAATTTGTCTTATTTTAGAGTTTACATTAATGCACTGTTATGTGGGATATATATGTATTGTAAATGTGAAGTGTGTTGGTGATCTAGCCAGTGGACTGATTTGTGTGTGTGTGTGTGTGTGTCAGTCTGCAGACGCTGCAGGAGGATCTGTTAGTGGCGACGGCAGACGGTTATCTGCACATGCTGCACTGGGACAGTGTGAGTAACGGCCGGAGAGCAGTGAACCTGTGCACCATCCCGTTCTCCCTCGACCTGCAGTCCTCCAGAGGTCAGACGTGCTTCTTAATCACTCTCCAGAGACGCTCCCGACTGATTAACACGCGTCTGTTCCCGTGTGTTTGTCTGGCGTGACGTGTCTGTGTGTTTGCGTTAGGAGGGCCGTGTCTGGATCTGGACGGTGTTCACATTCGGGAGATGGAGTACTGCGCTACACTGGACGGATTTGCAGTGGTGTTTGATGACGGGCGACTCGGATTCATCACGCCAACCGCAAACAGACTCGCCACAGACGTAAGAGAGAGTATAATTAAACAAGTATTATTCAGCTAGCTGCTGCTGCTGTATAAACATGTCAGCCAACTTTAACTATTCAGTAAGACGCTGTAGTTGATCTGAGCGTAGAAGAAGAGTTCACGCTCATGTCTGCTGTAGCGCCTCTTGTGGCAGCACTGAGAATGCGACACGTGGTTCGTTTGCGTAATGTTAGTGTTGATGTGCTAATATTGTGTTTGTGTGTGTTTCTGTGCAGCAGCTGCAGGGCGTTTGGGCCGCAGACGTCTCTGATGGCACGTGTGTCGCCGTCAACAACAAATACAGACTCATGGCTTTCGGATGCGCAAGGTGTGTGTGTGTGTAGATTGTGAAGTGCAGTTATCATTTCAAAGTGTTGTATTTATGTCAGTTGTGTGTGTGTCTTTTTATATTTGTGGCTGTTGTTTGCTTTTTGAGGATTTCACAGCGTTTTATTTAGGAAATCTGGAAATATCAGGATTTTAAAGTGTTAGTTCACCCAAAAATGAAAATTAGTCCATGTTTTACTCACCCTCAAAGCATGCTAGGTGTATATGGCTTTCTTCTTTCAGACGAATCCAATCAGAGTTATATTAAAAATTTTCCTTGCTCTTCCAAGCTTTATAATGGGGGTAAGGTGAGTGTTTTTGTTTAAGAGTCCAAAAGTAGTTAAATAAAGCGCGAGCATCCATAATAAAACGTGCCTCTCAAGGCTCCGGCGGGTGAATAAAGGCCTCCTTGCACGTACGACAGTCAGCAGAAGTGAGAAAAAAGTATTTATAACATTTTAAATATGGACATTTTTCTTACAAAAACTCATCGATTTGCTTCAGGAGGCCTTTATTCTTTATTTGACGTCTTTTGGACTGTTGAACAAAAACACCCACCTACTCCCATTCTAACGCTTGGAAGAGCGAGGAACATTTTTAATATAACTCTGATTGGATTCTCCTGAAAGAAGAAAGTTATACACCTAGGATGCTTTGAGGGTGAGTAAAGCGCAGGCTAATTTTCGTTTTTGGGTGAACTAACCCTTTAAAGTCATGAAAAGTAATGCAACATTCAAAATGAATGAAAATACACTAGCATTCATATTTGGATAATTGAGATTTTTTTATGTTTTTGAAGGAAGTCTCTTCTGCTCTACAAAGCTGTGTGTGTTTGATCACAGATGTTTCTATGTGAATCTCTGTTAAACTGTAATGTATTTCTGTGATGCGCAGCTGTATTTTCAGCATCATTACTCCAGTCTTCAGTGTCACATGATCTTCAGAAATCATTCTAATATGCTGATTTGATGCTCAAGAAACATTTCTGATTATCATCAATGTTGAAAACAGTTGTGCTCCACAATATTTTTGTGGAAACTGTGATACATTTTATTTTTCAGGATTCACAGATGAATAGAAAGTTCAAAGAACAGCATTTATTTGAAATAGAAATATTTTGGAACATTATAAATGTCTGTACTGTCACTTTTGATCCATTTAATACTTGATGAATAAAAGTAGTTATTTCTTTACCCAAAAAAAAGATAAATTAACCCCAAACTTTTGAACAGTAGTGTATCTATAGTAGATCCAGTCCAAGGTGTGTGAACCCTGTTTATTGTGTGTGTGTGTGTGTGTTGCAGCGGGTCAGTGTTGGTGTACATGATTGACAGCTCTACAGGATCGATGCAGCTCTCTCATAAACTGGAATTAACCCCGAAACACTACCCAGGTGAGACACACACTCGTCACTCATGATGTTTACACTTTAAACCGCAGTCAAACCACAGGAAGAGGCGTCAGTCCAACCCACAATCCACAGAAGCCACGCAGCCTTTGTTGCACTCAGGATGATCCTTTTATTTACTGTTAGTATGTTTAACCTCAGACCCACAATCCTCTCTGATTGAGTGTTGGGTTCTGGTCCTCTGATGCCTCCTGATGGCTGCTGTGGGAACATGAGCATCTGACACACATCTGATGAGTCAAATCAGTGACTAGATTCTTGTTTTTTTTAGCTTTTTACCTGATGAACTGATATAAACCTCCGTAACAAAGCAGCCAATTAGATTCCAGCTAGTGCTGTTATATAGATATCAAATGTCTTATTTTTCTCTGTATCATCTATCACAGTGTTTCCCAACCTTTTTTTAGTCGCGGCACCCTTTGGAAGTTTTGTGTGTATAATATTGTAGCAGTTTTTTTATTCTTTGAATGTATTTTTGTTGTTGGGTTCAGTTAGCATTTGCACGGTCATTTGTATATTTTGTCCGTGTTCATTGGTAATAAAGATATTGGGGAAAAACACAAAGAAAGCAAGGAAACTCCCAGAAGATTTCCCATGATTCAGTCTGTCTGCGTTTTGTTGTCTCTGCTCTGGTCGCAGATACCTGGAATAAGACGGGTGCTGTGAAGATGATCCGCTGGTCTCCGGACTGCAGCGTTGTCATGGTGACGTGGGACTGTGGCGGTCTGTCTCTGTGGAGTGTGTTTGGAGCTCATCTCATCTGCACACTCGGGGAGGACTTTGCGTGAGTCGCACAAACACACTCACGCCGCTGCTTTACTGCGTCAGCAATACGTTTGTCAAACTCATTAACCAGAAAGTTCACTCCAGCAGAGACGGCACTAATGATGAGTTTTCAATGTTGATGTTTCAGCTTGTTTTTCTTTTTTTTTCTCTGTGTTTTCCTGATGCAGCTATCGCTCAGACGGCACTAAGAAAGAGCCTCTGAAGATCAGCTCTATGGTGAGTGTGCAAACATGGTCTTTTATTCACAATTCAATTCAAGTTTATTTGTATAGCGCTTTTCACGATGCAAATAGTTGCAAAGCAGCTTTACAGAAAATTAAAGTGTCTACATTATATTTAGTAGTAGCTTATCAGTGGTGACTATCTCAAGTTGATGTCCATTTGGCAGAAATGTACAGTAAAAAAGTTAGTTAATGTCATGTAATCAAACAGACGGTGAACACTATTAACAGCAATGATTATATGTTGCGATCGAACTTATAGCCAAAACAATCATATGGAAGATTCAAAATCAGCATTTTTTTCTTGATTCTGCATGTTTATTGTACTGTATCAATCTTATTTTAGGATAATTTGTATATTATTTTAGTTTTTGTTAATATTTTGAATTAGATTTTATATTCGTCTTTTCATTTACATTTTTGTGTCATCTATATAGCTTTTATTAAGTTTTAGAAGTTATTGTTATTCTGGTATTTTAACTTAAACTAAACAAAAATGAGAAATGTTGCTTTGGAAGTAGTTGAAATAAAATATTAAAAAATCAGTAAATGTTTATTTTGTTTCAAGTAATGGTGTATTTTTTTTCTTCCTGCACAAAAGCAGTCATAAGGGTCAATTTTGTGAAATGGTTTGTGGTTAATCATCTGAAAGCTGAATAAATAAGCGTTGCATTGATGTATGGTTTGTTATGATAGGACAATATTTGGCCGAGATACAACTATTTGAAAATCTGGAATCTGAGGGTGCAAAAAAATCTAAATATTGAGAAAATCATCTTTAAAGTTGTTCAAATGAAGTTCTTAGCAATGCATATTACCAATCAAAAATTAAGTTTTGATATATTTACGGTAGGAAATTTACAAATATCTTCATGGAACATGATCTTTACTTAATATCCTAATGATTTTTGGCATAAAAGAAAAATGGATAATTTTGACCCATACAATGTATTGTTGGCTATTGCTACAAATATACCCCAGCGACTTAAGACTGCTTTTGTGCTCCAGGGTCACATATGTCATGTAAGTCAGTTTTGATAAACACATTCCTGTTAATGCCTGTGTGTGAATGTGTTTTAGAGCTGGGGTGTGGAGGGATATCATCTGTGGGTGATCAGCAGCACAGACGCGACTCCTGTTCCCGACGGAGCGGAAGGAGACGAGAAACTCCAGCAGACCGGCATCCTGCAGTTTCAGTTCATTAAGAGCGCGCTGACCGTCAACCCGTGCACAGTGAGAGAAACACACACATGAGTGTTTTTGCTGTTTACGCACATGCAACATGATCAGATGCATGTCAGATATCAGTGAGTGAGAAGGTTTTGTGTCTGTGTGATCAGAGTAATCAGGAGCAGGTGTTGCTCCACGGAGAGGATCGTCTGTATCTGACCTGTGGAGACCCGACTCAGGCTCACAGTGTGTCGGATAAGAGCCCGTCTCGGGACAGCGGCAGCCCTCTCTCTCAGGGTCTCAGCACTTTACTGGGCCACAAGCACTGGCAGGTGGTTCAGGTACATGATCACACGCTCCCAGCTTAACACACATTTACTGTAGAGGATAATAAGTGCATCACTGTGTTTTTCCTCTCCCTGCAGATTCACAGCACATATCTAGAGACAAACTGGCCCATCAGGGTAAGAACCAACTCTTAAAGGAATAGTTCACCTAAAAATGAGCATTAGCTGTAAACTGGGATGAGTTTGTTTCCTCATCAGATTTGGAGAAATGTAGCATTGCATCAGTGTCTCAGCAATGGATGCTCTGCAGTGAATGGGTGCCGTCAGAATGAGAGTCCAAACAGCTGATAAAAACATCACAATAATCCACAAGTAATCCACAGCACTCCAGTCCATCAGTTAACATCTGGAGAAGACAAAAGCTGAAACAAATCCAGCAATAAGACATTTCTAACTAAAATATGAGTCCATAATCCATAATAACGCTTCCTCCAGTGAAAAAGTGTTCTGGTCTGAATCAGGAGAGAAATCTGCACAGATCAAGCAGCGTTTAAACGGCTCTAAACAAATATGTGGCTGGATTTTGATGTGAGAGACCACAAGAGATGCAGTTTTTCATTTGAGGAAGCCTTATTATGGATTATAGACTCATATTTTAGTTAAAAACATCTTAATGCTGGATGTGTTTCAGCTTTTGTCTTCTCCAGATGTTAACTGATGGACTGGAGTGCTGTGGATTATTGTGATGTTTTTATCAGCTGTTTGGACTCTCAATCTGACGGCACCCATTGACTGCCATCCATCATGTAGATGAGTTTTTAGCACATTTTCATTTTTGTGTGAACAATTTCTTTAGGTCTTTGTATGTTAGTAAAGCTTTCTTGTCTTACAATTTAGTTTCTGGTAACTATTTCTTCATCCTCTCACACACTGATGCTGCTGTACCTTTAAGACTTGTATATGTAAATGACCTCTTTTTTTGATTGGTTAACCTCTGTGTACTAGTGTGGTTCACTTTGTCAATCAGCAGTGCTGGTGATGTTGCCGTGTAATGAATATGTGATGATATGTAAATGTGGGCAGGCGTATGTTAATGAGCATTTCAATAAATGTTCCATTTGGGTCCAGAAACCCAGTTTTTAATGAAACGAGTCGTTTAATCTTTGTGTGTGTGTGTGTAGTTCGCAGCTATAGACTGGTCTGGTCAGTGTGTGGCCGTAGCTGGCCGGCATGGATTTGCACATTACTCATTATACACCAGAAAATGGAAACTGTTTGGTAACGTCACACAGGTAAACACACCTATATCACCATCTTTTCATTTGAAAGGAAAGTAACTTGTGTGATGAAGCTTTCTAACATTATGTGTGTGTTTCAGGAGCAGAATATGACGGTGACGGGAGGTCTCACGTGGTGGGACGACTTTGTTGTTGTTGCCTGTTACAATTTCATTGACCGGCAGGAAGAGGCAAGAACGATTAAATAAACATTCCTCTGATTCATTAGTGTTGATTGGAATGTTCATTGATTAAGGCAAGACACTGTAGTTGAATAGGGTAAAAAAAAAAAACTAATAGTTATTGTCTTTCTTACCCACTTGATTGATTACATTGATAATTGCAAACATTTTTTGTATTACAAGTTTTCTAAAATGTTAGGTTTAAATATGCAAATGAGGCATGATTTAGTGAAATATATGCGCTACTTTGCATACATATCTAGTACAAAAATCTAAACACTGATGTCAGTAATTTTTTTAAATCTCATTTTTGTCATAATTCAGAAAAAGCTTAGAACAGACAGAAAACAATATATTTTCACAATTGTTGGGGAAATAAAATGTTGTATATAATCAAGCAAATAATATATGAACAAATCCCTCTGTAAAAACCTTCAGGAAATAGACTATAGGTATAAAAATGTGAAGTTTGGTGTGTGTAAGTGCTACTCAAGAGGAGATTTATGGCTCGGTGTAGGAGAAAAACTCATTTTGAGAAAAATATATATTGTAATTGAAATCTATTGACACCCATCGATCAAGTGCTATAAAAGAACCACTCAAGTGTCTTTTGGATGTTTTCTTTCCACTAGTCACTAAAAAACAAAAAGCCCAAAATCTCAAACTTGACAGCTGCATGAAAAAAGAGTGTTTTTGCCTACAGTGTCTGCCCTTAATTGACTCTTGTTTTTCTTGGTTTGTAGCTGAGGTTATACGTGCGCACATCTAACCTGGATAACGTGTTTGCCAGCATCACTAAACTTCAGGCCGACACGCTGCTGCTGAACGTGTTTCGTAACGTGGTGATTCTGTTCAGGGCCGACTGCTCCATCTGCCTTTACAGCATCGAGAGACGACACGACAGGTGACACACACACATACATAATATGGAGCAACAATAATTAAATAGATAATCAGTGGTTATACCTAATTGTTTATTTTGTAATAATACATAAAAACACAACAATTGTTATTAAACCGTGTCATAACATTTCACTTTCATAAAACTAGTGCTACATTTAAATGATTAAATTAATAAATTAATTTTCATTTACAGATTATATACTTTTCCAATTGTTAGTGTTTTTGCTTTTTACGCACATGCAACAAGATGTACACACATAATTCAGGATTTCCACATTTGTCTTCATGTATATGCATGTTTATTTTTTGTTTTTTTTTGTTTTAGTTTTTTAAATAATAAACATTTCCAAATGTGTCTCTATGCATGTTATTTGTTTGTTTTTATTTTAATATTTTTGTTTTATAATGGGTTTATTATTTTGTTTATTTATTTATTTTTATAGTAATAAATAGCATTTCCTAATGTCTCTTTTCTCTTCTGAATGAGCTAATGAATCAATCATGTTTTTTTAAACTTTTTTTAAACTAAGCTTTTTCATAGTAATTGAAGATTCTAGCCAATAGAAATAATGATGGAGAGTATCTGATTTGAATGATTTGCTTAATTCTATTTCAAGTTTGGTGCTTCATATACAGTGGTGGCCAAAATTGTTAGAACAACTGACAGATCTGAAAATACTGACCTTTTTTGCCTCCAAAACATGATTTCATTTCATAATGTTCATGAAACATACATATGGCGGCAATACTATGCCATTAATAACCGAGCGCACCACTGATGCTGGCGCGCGTAAATCACTTCCGTGAGCACTCGTTCCTGTCGCGCCGGATCATGCTGCCCTTCCACATCAACATCTACCCGCTCACCGTGCTGTTCGAGGACGCGCTCATCCTGGGCACTGGCCAATCAGAATGTTTTGCTCTTATAAACGCGAGACGTGCATAATAGTATCCAGTTGCGGAGTCGCAGCCCTGATGAATGGAGAAGCGCGACAAAAAGCTGCGAGGCGCAATGGTCAAAGATGTCCCTCT